AATATATATATATATTCCCAGTAGTACCAAATATTTCAGCAGCATTGATGATATTTAGTCCAAATTCCTGTTACTAGAATGCCTGCAGTACAGACGCAATATCCATTTCAACCATATTGTTTATATCTCGTCTTAATGTATGCAAATAAAATTTTTCTTAAAACAACTTTAGTACATACCAAACTTTGAGGACAAGATGCAATATTTTTAACACAGTAAAAATGCTCTACATTTATAGTATCTTTATAAAGGAAACTAGCAAAAATATCTGCAAATATTGCATTTTTATTTTACAAAGAAATTTACAAGAAATATTTGATACAATATTAGAATACTTCATATTTACAAGGTTAAATTTAAACAGATCATGTTTAAAAATTTTCTGCATTTTCCTTTCTTCCACATAAAATTACTTTGAATTCAGAAATTTTTGCATGCATTTATTATTGTGATTGTCAGACAATTGCCATGGCGGTCGAGTATAGTAAAACTTTCAGGTCAGATCGGGTACATTGAAATAACAGACAATTAACGACAAATAATCCAATGATGTGTAGTCTTGTTGTTAAAGAAAATATACAAGTAAATTGACTAATCTATGATTTATTAAAATTCCATTCCAGGCAAATATTTACATTATATACAGTTTACAAAATGTATGATTCAAAGATTCATCGGTATATCACTTTCACACGTTATCACAAACGAATTGCATTACATTCCGTATAAAAAAATAAGCAACATTGTCCAATACTGTGCACACAAAAAAAAACGTGCATAGTGTCCAATACTATGCCGACAAAACCACGCAACAGTGTCTAATACTGTGCGGACAAAAACCACGCATCAGTGTCCAATACTGTGCGGTCAAAAACCACGCAACAGTGTCCAATACTGTGCTGAAAAAATATCAAAACTAAATACAAATGAATAGTAATGTAGCACAACTTTCTATGAATCTATAAAGGTCCTCCCAAGATCTGCCAAAATCTGCCCAGAATCTGCCTAGATAACAAAATCCTTTTTAACGTTTCATATTGTATAATTCTTTTCTCGCCTTCAATTCTTCTCAACACTAAAACAGGGGCCCTTATATACCCATCATCTCCAAATATTCTCCAACTGACCTAAATAATCTCCAAATATTCTCCAACTGACCTAAATAATCTCCAACTCTTTGTTTACAAAAACAAAACATATAAATCATATAAAAGTATTTACTATGTGACCTAGAGAACATGCTATGCTAATCTTTTATTGCAGGATAGCCATTTGACTTAATGACTTTAACAGACAAAAACTTTAATATGACAAAATTAATAATAGTAGAAGATAAAATAACACTCTAACAGAATGGTCAAATGTGACATTAATTATTGCAAGAATAAAAACCTGGCAAACATTTCTGACTGTTACAGTACACAAACTACAATGTATCAACAAAAACATCTAAAAGAAAAAATTGATAAACTTATTACAAAAATGCAATTACTCCAAGATTAACGTTCTCATTTTGAAGAGAAATTGATTTCCCTGACGAGAACCTACTGAATTGGTATAAAATTCAAGAATTCAAAAGGAAAAACAAAGGCATACATTACCACTTTAACTCCTTCGCATAAAATGCAAAGCTACCGCCTTTTATAATTCCAAATCAAATAGGATAAAACTATTATTGCTGCAAGAATCCCTTTTAAACAATGTCTTCTGCAGTAAGATATTTCATTCATGAAAATTTTAATGAATCAGAGAGAAACCTGAAAAGCATCTTTAAAACAAATGAGCCTTCAAGAGAAGACATTATTAACAATACAGTTGGTCTATTTTCAGATACAAAATGTCATCTTTTTCTTTAGATATATCACAACATCAAAAATACATTACATGTTATATATTATCACTTTCAATTTAGTACTATTTTTATCTCTCTTTAAATTATCATGGTAGAAAAAAATGGTTGTCTTCTACACATATTAAGCGTTACTTTTTCCATTGAAATAATTTTGTATACATTTTTTATTCCATAAGAATTTCGCAGTCAATTATAATGAAACAACTTAGGGAATAAATACATATGATATCAAATCAATACTGTCAAACTTGGTAAATAAAAACATTGAAATTACATTTCCATTGACCTTACCGATATGTTTAACCCTGTCCTATATTTAGAATTGGAATGAAAGACCAATACTATGTTTATATGTGTATCTTCACTATCAAACAATAGGTTTTAAAAGAACGTTATCAATATGTAATCATGAATAATCTTAATTTTGTGTTTTTCTTTATTTGTATGAAATTGTTCAAAATAACCTATGTAGTAGCATATATAAAAAGAATAACGGAATTTAACAATCGCAAAATTTTTTTATCGTTATCGTTAAATATTGCAAATCAATGTATACTCTCGACAACTTTGCACGTTAACATTTTTTTGAAAAATTCAAACATAAAAAACAAAAACCAAATCTATCCAATATTAATTTGCTACATATTCATCGGTTTTGAATACACCTCTGACACCTGACATCGCTATATATAGATTGGGAAACCACATCATAACACAGTACCGTAAATCTTCTATAAGCATGATAGGATTGATAATTGTGGTGGAGTTTTTACACAGGTGCTAATTATCTTATTCATCACCTTCCGTCACAGTGCGTATCAGGTTGAATGCAGCATAAAGTTCATGGCACTCCTTCTTTTATGATTTTTTAAATGATATGATTTACGTATTTAACCTGAAGAAGATTTTTACAGTTTAAAACACCGATCTTTTATTAGTTTAGATGTTATAATTTAAAATTAAAGGCCACCAAAAGGAACTGTCCTAAAAAAATGAAAGAACAATAGATATATTTAAAGTGTACATGTTCCTGCCTTTGACCACATGTTGGGATTACCATTACATGAACATTTTACCCATGTGAGGTATAATGGGGAATCCGTTATCATATTGCTTTCATTAAAATTTTATTCACTACAAAGTTTGCACTTGAAAGTCTTTCCTTGGGTACCTTAAGTCGTGATCATGTATATGCATTTGAACACCAGGTATTTATCTTTTTATGATTAATATTTAGGGAGTTCATATAACATATAATAAAACAGTGTTCTAGTTTTACATATATCTATGTTTTCAAAATAAATAAAAACAATATACGACCACAAAAATTTTTTGCGGTCGTATAAAAATTGATGAGAAAAAATACAAAAAAGTATTCAGATCAGTTTAATTATATCAAATTTTTTTTTTTCTCTTTTTACACATGTACATGTATGTGTTAAGTTCACAATGACTTTAATTCTTCTTCTTTTTTTTTTTTTAAAATGGAGGGAGGGGGGATAAAATTAAACAATTTCAATTATAGGACCCTGCAGAGGCAAATAAGATGAAGAACTGTTTGGTTTATAGAATATAACAGTGACATATGATTGTAACATTAATTAATATAAAACTAAGAAGATGTGGTATGGTTTCTCCACCCGAGACAAAATCGTGTAGAAGTTAGCAACTCAACAATGAGCAAAATCCATACCGGATAACAAGCTAAATGTTCCCAAGGCCCCAAAATGACAAATCTAAAACAATTCAAACCAGAAAACTAATGGCCTGATTTATGTTCAAAACAATAAACGAAAAACAAAAATAATGTACAGCAAAAAATGACAACCACTGAATTAAAGGCTCCTCTGTGTATCATTACATAGACTGTTGTCCTCTTTCAGTAAATTCAAATAAAGGCAAAAATTATGAGGTCTTCTGCACTTTTGCCTCATACCAAAATTCCATTTTATCATAGGTTGGTGTTTAAGTGCATGAATAAAGTCTTTTTTTTATTTTGATATTTTTTTAATAATCAGGTGGTTACACTGTATGCTAATATTAATAAAATTAACTAAACAACATTAGAAAATCAGAAATCTTTATCATGTTCTGATTTTTTTTATTGTTTACTTTCCTCAGGAAATTTCAATTTTTTTTAATTTAAAAAGTAAAATTGGCTCAAATTCTCATAATCAAACACTTAAAAATTTGAGCAAACATTCACTTTTGCATGACGAAGTTTCAGAAATATTTTTCTAGTTTCAAAAGTAATAAGAACTGGGCATTACATGTATGTTACACTGTTATTATTTATTACGAAATTAAAAAAAATTAGCCATACTAGGCAGATCCAAGGTTTCCTTATAAGAGAAATGCAAAATAGCTTTACTTAAAAATGTATGTACATTTTTTCTAAACTGAAGACAAGGGCTGTACATGTAACTCTGTATACAATGTACATGTACAACTGCTGATACAGAGCTCACATTAATTTAGGTAACAAACACTCTTGGTGGTGAATTTTCACATTAAAAACTGGTGACTTTGGTGATTCTCTCTGAAATATCTTTCTGTACATGTATATTCAATAGATACTAACTGTTATTTGACAGTTTTCATTGGTTTTGTAATACCAGGGGTAATTAAATTCCAGTATTTTCATTCCCAATCGTGAGTAATCACCATACATGTAGATAATAACATATGTTTACTAAACATCAGCAAGATATCATTGTTATTTTTCTTACATAAATTCAAACGTGATTCCATGCGAAATATGCCAATATTTCAAGAAATGATCAGCTAGCATCTCTTTTTCCTTTTTTTCTTTGTAATTCCAGAAAATTTAAGAATGGGAAAGATGATTTTCCAGTTTTTGGTAACAGACATGTCAGAATATCTTTCAAGCAGAGGTCAAAAATACAAATGTGGTATATAATCTAAATAAATAAATGTTGAGTTAAGATTTGAGAAACAAAACATTCAAAACTGCTCCACAAGCAATATTAAAATATTTGTCTGAAAGGTAAAAAATTGAAATAATTTTAATTATGAAAAGAGGAATAGACCATATTCTTTCCTTGGCATGCATAACAAGAACTGCAGCAATGTCACAAAGAAAGAAACCACCTGATTAAAAATCATTGAAATCTAATGATAGAATTACCTTTTCCTTTGTCAAATTGCTGGTACTTCCACTGACACCTTTAGTGAGGTCTAATCCACTATCCATTTCCTTAAAGTCACCTTTCATAAGCCATGGATCTGATAATGAGCGATTTGATGGAGTCAAATGAAGAGAGTCATTGCTACCAAATTCCTTGCTTCTACTTCGGAACTCGGCCAACTGACGAAGTTTTGATTTGACAGAGTCTGATTTCTGTGATGATGCAAGATTTGATGAATTGGTTTGTTTGGACTGACTGTCTTTTCCTGACCATTCTGGTCCAAAATTGAAACTATTCATTACTCATGGCCTTCTTAAACTAAAAACAAAAGGAAATGATTAATATCATAAACAGTCAATTCTAGAATGTGTGAAGATCTGCAATGAAAAGTAAGCACAAAAGGCTTTTTTATTATACACATATTGTCATCTGAATTCTTTGCACAAGATGTTCATTTCGAAATATAAGATAATTGAATATTTTAGGGATCAACATAAGCGTGACAGCATGAACTGTAGAAAATATTGGACAATACAACAGACAACCATTACAACATCCACCAACACTCAACTCCTCAGAGAAAATAGATGTACAAACAAGGCAACCTAAAACAAATTGATTGGTTGATTGATTGATTGGTGTTTAATGCCACTTTCAGCACTATTGGGTATTTTGTGGCAGTAAACTTTTATTGGTGGAGTTGAGTGCACCTGCCACTTAAGTAATTTGAACTCACAACCTCAGTGTTTACAGGCTAGCGATACAGTAGTTGGACTACATTTTGTACTTAGACCACTCAGCCACTGAGGCCCATCTTAAACGAACAACTTTGGTGTATCATTGAAGTATACCCAGCAACTCTTATAATTCATGGTTCAATTCAACCACACATCTCAAGTTTATTCCATTCTGTCTTAGCAGAGCTGTCAAAATTCATTGATGTTTATTTCATAAAAGCACACACAGTGATTGTTTCCATATCACAGCTTCTTGCAAAGCTGTCAGATTGACAGTTGAAACTTCTAAAACTTTGTGTTCATAAATTAAGAAATTATTAGAAGCAAAGAGTCCAACTTCCTCGAGGAAAGTTGACCTTACAGCTGAAGATGTTTTTGCCAGGCTACTGTGGATTCATTTATCTTCGTGGGTACCAATTTTTGTGGATTAAGGAAAAAATGTATTTTCATGGATATTAGATTTCTTGGGTTTACAAAGGTCTGCATACAGACCTATAGAAAAGGTGTACTAAAGTGGACATTTAAATTTGTGGTTCAACTGTACCAGCGAAATCCACGAAAATAGGTATCCCATGAATAATAATGAATCCACAGTATTCTTTTTAGGTTCTTTTAGTCATATAGTCATATGTCCAGTATTTATACATCCCTGGCTTTCAAATTGTTGGATTTAAGTGTTCCTGATGAACATTAATCTAGAAAAGCTTTTCAAATACACAAAATTTATAAAGGGTTATCTTAATTTAAAAGCCTTTTTATATCTTTGAACAAGGCAATTAAAAATATTAAATCATTTAACCTCAGTTTGTATTTTCCATTGAAAAAGAATAAAGAATATAACTGATGAAACCATGATGAACATATATACGCCTGGCATAATGAAATTTCTTTTAACCCACTACTTTATTTAAAATCTTCAGTGCCTTGGCCGAAATACAACGATAAATTTCAAATTGCCTTATTGTTACTAATAACCTTGTGTTTTCAAAATAATGGGGGTTGAACTTTGGTCGTTGAAATGATGTTTGAGCTGCAATGTTAGTTAATCATTATTTGTTTCCATGTTATAAAATGATATTGAAGTTATAACTTATATATTGAAGAAAAGAAAAAAAAATGATAAGAATGATTTTTATTCAATTTCAATTATACAACTTTATACAATTTAATTCTCCGTTGATAAATTAAGAAACTATCAAGAAACAAAGGTCTCAACTCCCGCAGGCAAAGTTGACCGTAGATGAATTTGGCTTTCATTTTTATGTCCCTTTTACTTAGCTCATCACATATAGGTCTTGTACATTCCTGGGGCTCACAAACAATCTTAGGACTAAAATTGGTCATATGTTATACTGTATGTTCATGACTTACGAGTGTGTTTACTCGTAAGATTTTTTGTGAAATGAGTCGCTGTCTTTCAAATGTTTGGTTAGAGCGTTTCTGAAAAAGGTAAATCCAGAAAAGGGTTTTGGACACATAAAATTAATAAAGTGTTATTTTCCTTACATCTGGATGGTATATATCTGAACATACTACATGCTTTATAAATCAAAATCAAACAGCTGTAGTTCCAACATATGTTTGTCCATACCAACCTACATGAATTCATGAAACACTAGTTTGACATTTTAACAAAATTGTTGGCAGTGATGAATCCATTTTTTTCGTCAAAGTCATACCTTTGAATTCCAAAATGTATCTCTCAATTTCTAAATAAACAAATTAAATTAACAATATATTCATGACTAAATTAACAAATGAAATTACAATTTATTCCAGTTATATACCTGCAACACCCCCCCCCCCCTTTCCAAAAAAAAATAAATTAAAATTCTGTATCCAAACCTAGCAATAAACCTCTCAGAGTGTAACACCAATGTATGTCTTGATTTCTTATATATTACCGTCTATTATTGAACAGGGTGATGGTAAGGATCTGTGATTGTGTAATACACATACATATCAAGGTAATGTTCGCGTTTATGATGATATTTACGGTATTCGATTTACTATGAATGTAATCCATTGTGAGTATGTGTAAATCTATTTTTAGTTTTGTTGTTCTTGCAAATTTCACGCCTATTGAAAACTCGTTTTACTTATTGTGGCTATATAGGTCACCTGTGCGACACTAATTAACGGTGATTAGTCCGCAACGTGGGGTCATAAACGATAGTGTGTGATAACAAGATCAAAGGATTTCCCGAGACATGACTGAATCACCATATTGCGGACGTAAAAAACAGCGAAACCGGGACTATTTAGACTGGAAATCAGCAGTTTTAGAATATATAATGTATCTTGAATAGTATGCATTGTGTATAATTGGGGAAAATTCTCACCTTTTCTGTATATCAATCCCCAAACATCGTTCGTTCGTCAGATGCGAACTCTCACCCAACAATATGCAAATTACACAGACAGTCACGTGATTATCAATCCATTTCGCACTTGACTGACTGGTAAACGTGATCAAGCACATTCACATCAATTTATATATAAATGATTGGACGTTTTTTTTCTATTTTCTATTAATAATAAAGTAGACTCAAATAAATTCGGTTTGCGGTTGGAAAAAGATATAATCCTGTACAAGAAGCCGCCTCTGTAAGGGGGAGTAGGGGGCCGGAGATGAGAATATGCGGGGTGGGGGGTCTCTTTTAATTTTATGAAGTCAAACTACAAAGTCTACAGTTATTATAAGATTGGATGGATAAGGACAAGAACTCATGGAATAAAAGAAAAGGGTTTGAAATAGGGAGATGGTTTAATAGCAGTTTTCACTAAACATGAAAAAGGGGGATCCATGCCCTAATTAAGCGATCTTGTTGGCAGCACCCAGGCGCGGATCCAGCAATTTTAAAAAGGGGGGTTCCAACCACCGGAACACTATGAAACGTATAATAAAAAATCGAAAAAAATGGGGTTCTAACCCCAGCAACATCCCTCCTCCTTGGGTCCACCAATGGCACGTGTACCTATCTATATCTCCCTACTTTCAGTCACGGTAATAATACAAATGCATAAGAGACATCAGATACGAAATTATAGTTTAGAAAAAAATAAGTTGGCTGGTTTTCCGAAAGACGTGTACCTGTACCAAAATTTAGTTATCAAAGTTTTGCCTGACGCAGACAAACATCGTGCATTGCGCGACGGGTGAAACACAAGGCCATAATATTGACTTATAACATATATAAGCCAACGATCAATTTCAAGCGAAAATAGAAACTCTCATTCCAACACACAATTAACATCCAGTAATTTTTTTCTCTCTCCATCTGATGAAAGTGAAAAGCAGGTGCCAATTCGGTGACTATATATATGTGGTGTTACTTCGGTTTGTGTTTTGCAGATGATTATACATATTTCTGGAAAACTTTTGAAAGAATCACTTTGTTTAGATAATGAGGCTATAAAATGTGTTAACAGATATAAATATTTAGGGATAGTCTTTACTTCTAGTGGTCTTTTTCAGCAGGGGAAAGAAGAGCTATTCAAAAAGTCCTTAAAGGCAAAATTTAAACTACAAAAATCCGTCAGTTTGTAATCCAAGTATTGATACTGCAATCCATTTATATGATCACACAATAAAACCAATTTTATTATATTGTAGTGAAATTTGGGATACATTTAAGATTAACTCTGCTGCTTGCAAGAAAAAAAAGTGATTATCTATTTGAATTAATTTTACATAAATGATTATTTGGAAAAATCACATTTCAGGTATCTAAAATATATTCTTGGTGTAAATAAAAAAGCCTCAAATTTGGCAGTGTTATCAGAGGTTGTAAGATTTCCTCTTTATTTTTCTGTCATTATATCTATAGTAAAATATGTACACAGGCTTAACAAATTGGACGATGGGCTACTATATGATGCTTATGTTTGTAATAAAATTTTAGATGCAGGAAACATTAATTGTTGGTATTCATCTATGAGATATGTCCTTCAATCACTTGATATAAAAAATTTGAATACAAAGCTCAATAAATTAATTAAATTTGTAAAATGTAAACTTTGTAACAGTTTTAAAACATTTTGGGTGGTCAAAAGATCTGATACCTTATCACAAGGTACAATAGTAAATTAGAAAATTATTTCAACCTCAAGACTGACTTCGTAAAGGAGGCTTATTTATCAATTAAAGATTTTAATATAAGAAGAGCTATATGTAAAATGAGAATAAGTGCACATGATCTTAAAATTGAGAAAGATAGATATAGTAAAAAATACATAGAGAGAACTCAGCGTCTATGTCATCACTGCCTATCACATGGATCAAATTCTATTGAAGATGAGACCCATTTTACAGTCAGTTGTCCTTTATATAAAGAACAGAGAAAATCATTATGGGATAAAGTAAACAGTTTTTGTACTAATTTTAAAGAATTACCCAAGGATAAAAAATATTTCTGGCTGTTCACAAATGAGCATTTACCAACACTTATGTGCCTAGGCAATTATATTATTAAGTGTTTAGAAATAAGATCCAGGTGGATACAAAATATATAAAACAATATTTGATTATTATGAAATTATTGTTATAGTTATGTAAGACACATGATGTGTTAGGCTCTGATCCTGTCCATAATATGATAGTATTATATTAGGATCTAGTTTTTCTTTTTTCCAATCATATTGTGCTTGATATTGTTGTAAATGATGCCCTTTATTGGTTCTTGATTAGATTAATAAAATTCTTATCTTATCTTATATACGGAAGAACATTTACAACCTATCAAAAATACAATCTTAATTATCTATTCGGAATCTGTCCGCATGACGAATTCATTTGAATCATTATTACGAAAAAGTTTGAAGATACCATAGTGGGCTATAGTGGGTAATCCAAAACCAAACGTTAAAGAAAGACAGACAAATCAACACCATGGTCGAAACGGGAAAAAAGGAAACGATGGACAATAACAGTCAAGAGGACACTACAAAGAAAGAACAGAGCAGTTAGTGTTTTTTTTTTTGTGTGCAATTTATGATAACGTATTAAAGAGAGAAAGGTCCAATTTGCCCAAATTTATGGCTCAAAAACAGTTTTTTTACTATAAAATTACTGGGCTTAAAAATGACATTTTTAAAAAGTCTTTCAATCTCTACTAAAGTTGACATCATGTGACAGCAATGTGTATGCACATTTACGCTCTAGCAAACATGTGACACACGTAGATACAAGTAGCTTGTCTTAGGGAGGGATAAATCCTACTTTGTAAAAAATCTCTCTGATTCCAACAAAAAATTATCTGAAACTGACATTATCAAGATGCTTGATTTCTTGATTGACAACATATTTGTTACGTTTGGAGGACGTGTTTTTTTAACAAACAATCGGCATTCCCATGGGAACAAACTGTGCCCCTCTTCTTGCCGACTTGTTCCTTTATTCATATGAGGCTGATTTCATAAAGGAACTTCTTAGGAAGAAAGAAAAGAAGTTAGCAGTATCCTTTAACTTTTCTTTCCGCTATATAGATGATGTTCTTTCACTAAATAATTCAGAATTTGGTGACTATGTTGAACGCATCTATCCCATCGAACTTGGGACAAAGGATACAACAGATACAGTTAAGTCAGCCTCATATCTTGACTAACATCAATAAATTGACAATGGGGGTCGGTTGAAAACGAAACTTTACGACAAAAGAGATGATTTCAGCTTCCCAATGTGAACTTTCCATTTCTATGTAGCAACATTCCAGCAGCACCTGCATACGGAGTATGTATCTCCTAATGTCGTAACTACAATCCCGTCCCCCCTTTTGCCGAATGTGACCTACCGAATTAAACTTATTACCGGGTTTGTACTAACATGAGCAACACGACGGATGCCACATGTGGCGCAGGATCTGCTTACCCTTCCGGAGCACCTGAGATCACCCCCAGTTTTTGGTGGGATTCGTGTTTCTCAGTCTTTAATGTTCTATGTTGTGTTTTGTGTACTATTGTTTGTCTGTTGGTCTTTTTCTTTTTTAGCCATGGCGTTGTCAGTTTATTTTCGACTTATGAGTTTGAATGTCCCTTTGGTATCTTTCGCCTCTCTTGGACAGCAATGTGCATGCACATTTACGCTCTAGCAAACATGTGACAGCAATGTAAATGCACATTTACGCTCTAGCAAACACCATGTCGTGTTTGGAACATTTCTCAAAATAATAAATGATTTAAGATGAATCGAATCTACAATTTTGGAGGATTTTGGTTTTTGAGTATTTGATAAAACAGACATTCTTTACCAAAACCAAAATTCAATGGGTAGTACAGCTTGTGTTGTGTCGTCTGTCAGATAACGATCAGTTTATTTAGGTTATGAATGGTTGTCTTCAAATGCTAAATTTTACCCAAAGAAAAGAAACATGCAAAATTCGTTATATTGTTTCAGAATTGTCTTCAATTACAATGTATAGATCTGGATATTATTTTAATTGTAAGGATTTATATGTAAAATTGTTGAACACTCAATTTATCAAGCCTGTAATTCTACTACGTTTCTCCCTGTCTTTTGCATTTTGATAAAGTGAGTGAAACAAATCAAGGAGAAATAGACCCTACCTCATTGAGGTAGAATCAATTTCTCCTGAATACATTTCACATCAGGGTCATTTTCAAAAAGTCTTTCAAACTTTAGTGACACTTTCAGTGTCACAGCATCATTTGTGTTCTTTAAAGTTTTAACAATAACATGTGTACTTAAATCATAAACGTCTTATGATAGCTCAAAACTTAATGATAGAATTTGGCAAATTTTTATGAGCGAAGCAAATACAGGGGGAGGGGAGGTGTTGGCCGTACCTCTTAAACCGTTATAAGAATGAACTTACAGTAATTGTTATACCAACTTCACAACTGGTAAGAACAAAGTTTCTACAGTTTGTATTTAGCAGATTGAAAAAATCGTCGAATTCTGTTTATTTATAATTGTGGTTTTTAAGTCGTAACCATAAATTCATTGTAAATTCGATATGACGAATTTAATTTGTACTAGAGCATTTAAAATGTTGTCATTACGAATTCCCAGACATCACGTAAGTTTGATTTATATATACTTCATAAGAATAGGGAGATGTAGTATGATTGCCAATGAGACAACTACTAGTATATCCACCATAGTTCAAATGACTAAGATATAACAATTATAGATCAATGTACGGCCTTCATTACTACCCCAGAACCACATGTTATGTACTCCACCAAACCTCTTTCTAAATTGTTAACATCAATTTCATCAGCAATGAGCCTCCTCATGGGCCGGGTTTTTGATTATGTGATTACTTGGCCGTTTTTATAGTGAATATTTGATTACCAGATCAAATATTTCATGATTATTTGATTATATGATAATCTAGGACTGTATTTTTGATTATTTGATTATCTTGTTTAGAAAAATAATTAATGATTATGTGATTATAT